CCATACTTGTTTTCGGGGTTTTTGGGATTGAGTTCTATGGGTCTTGTTCGTTAGCAAGGTTCTTAGATCCAACTCTCAAGGGTTTCTTAACAAACAGTTACACAATTAATTTAAATTTATCTGAAAATGAGAAATAAAAAATAAGAAACGAAGATGTTACCAAATTATTGACCCTAAATTTTCACTCCATTTAAATAAAGAAAGAGAAAATTAAATTGGACGGAAAAAACACTATTATGTATTTTTTAAGAATATCTATACTTTTATTTTTTATTTTTTTAACGACCTTTTTCATTCTCCTTGTGATAGTATTTTCTGTTTGAATTCAAATCAAATTATGTTATTTGTGTAAAATTTTAAACTTGCTACTAAAAATACATATTTTTATTATTCCATTTTTGTAATGGCCTAAAAAAACTAAAAATATAAATTTCTTGCCAAAAGAAAATTTCAAAATAAGGAATTTATGGCGTAACATCTTAGATTTAAGAGGACTGTAGAGGACTGCAGGGTTTTTTTTTTTCTCTCTCTGAGGAAAAATAAGAATGGAGTTACGTGTTTAATAAAATTAATCGAATATATTTAATATTTGGAGAGTTTTTATTTTAACTATTTGGGAAGTTTTTAATTATGGAGGAGAGTTATGTGTCTTTCTATTAATTTTGGAAGTTTTAGCTTTAAATAGTGTTTTTTTTTTCTTTTTGGTACTTTCGTATTTAATTCAAAGGTATTCAAATTTTCTGTATATATTTCTCCAATTCTCTCTAAAATTTCTATATATAATTCTCATCACTTATTTCTTTTTATATTTGGGGTAAAGAGTTTTCTTTCGGTGCTGTTTTCATTTGTTTTAAAAATTTGATCAAAATAAAGATATTCCTGAAATCGTTCCAATTTAGATGTTGTACCACAACGAAAAGAAGCCAAGAATTTTTTTGTTAAATCACTTATAAATAAAAAAAAAAGAATTATAACACAAAGTTACAAGTGTCTTAACCAGAGAATTACGAACAAACTAAAGCTCGGTACTTGTAAATGGAAATTGTTACCTATGTTCATACTTGCTTAGTAGAGTAAGATATTTTTCGTGTAACTAAAGCTCGGTACATAGTCATGACTTTCAAGTAAACTTAACATATATCGACTCATTTACAAAATTTGTACATCGTACCCTCCAAAAGTATTTCTACGTCATATTCAATAATTATCGAAATTATTTGCATTTGTCGTTGTTCATACATTGAAAAAGTCAAAGTCCGACCCTCTATCTTATCTATTTCCTCACCATTCTTTTCTAAAAGAGACTGTAATTTGTCCTTACAAGATGATTTGATAGAAAGAGACACCAAAGTTTTCTTGATCAGCCAAAGACATGAGAGAGATGAAACTTCAATTGTGATTTTGAAATGCATAAATTTTATACTCTTTGTTAAATTCTAAACTATTTGATCCGCGCACTTTCACTAAAGTCACGATATAGATCAAAAATGTAATTCTTGTAGTTTATAATTTATATTGATTTAGTCTCTATTATGAAAAATCTTGTCAGGTAGAACTGTCAATTTTCAATTTGCATGATTTAAATTCTCTAGTTTGAAAATGCATTTGGTTACGTTTATCAATCTATATAAACAAGAAATTTCCGCTATAACTTAAATTAAATTTTTTCAAAGTAAAGATTAAATTGTTGCAAAACTAAAGAGTAAGAGCAAAATCCCTACAAATTTCAAACTACAGATACTAAAAGCCCATTTGGTAACGTTCCTGTTTCTTGTTTCTCATTTTCAATTTTCTTAAGAAATCTAAGCATTTTACAACTGACTTTATTTCTCTCTTTTTTGGGAATTATCACAATTGTATCAAAATTTTGGAAACAACCTAACACAAATTTCTCCTATCTTGTTCTCATTTCCAATTTTTTTCGAAACATAAATAAAAATTTATTTTATCATACTTAAATTCTTGGACGATAGAACCATACAATACATTTTTCTTCATTAAAAATAAAAAAAAAATAGAAACAAGAAACGTATACATTACCTAACGAGACCTAAATCATTACATACTAAAGTTTGAAAATTACAGCATTACAATTTTTTTCAAATTATATATTAAGATTTCAAAAACTAAATATAAAAGTTGAACGACTAAAATTTCCCAAAATCACCATAAGTCGTATTTTCTTTTTGACAAATGAGCATGTGAATTATAAAATAGTAAGATAAGAAGTCAACAAAACTACACAAGAATCAAATATGAAACTTGACGAGGACTAAAAGTATTTAAAAAAAAAAATAGTTCTGTTTGCTTAAAATTTTAAAGTGCTTTTAGCCAATTAATAATAGTTAAAAACTGTTTTATAAGAAAAAATAGCTTTAGAAATTCTAACCAGAGATAAAAAGTACTTACCACGCTTTCGATAAAATAATTAATTAGTTTTCTTCACAAGTGCTTATAAAATAAATACTTCATTTTAAGGATTTTTTTTTTCAAAAGCACCAGAAGACAACCAAGTAGTCAATCTAAGCATAGCTCAATCAATAATACACCTATCGACAAAGTCCATATTTCAATCCCGAACTAAATAAGTTTTACTTTCAGACAGAAATTTTCACCGAAGCCCCGACAACTTGAAAAACATTGCCAAGACACTGCTGCTTGAAATTTTTTTAAAAACTATTACTTTCTATATAATTGCTTCCTCTTAGTTTATTCTCATGGCTGACTTATTTTCTTTTGAATATCTGAAGTCGTTCTAACTTTAAAAATTAAAGTTACGAGCTACTCATTCACAGTTCTTAAAAGCAGTTGTTAATAACAGTTCTATGCTGTCGAATATTCTATAAATGACTCGAGATTCTAGCTAGTGACAATTACTACACTACTGGTGCATCATTTCGGAATATGAAAACTAGCAAATGACTAGAAGGGTACCTTTGGCCAAAAGCAGGAGGTTTTCTTGGAAAATTAGGCTCCTCAAAAGCTGGAGATTCGGAATTTCAGGTGAAGTCGAAACCTCGAGCCATCTCCAAAGATATGATCAATACAGGTTCTTGCACAAAAGCACACGACGCATCTCCTCGTCTTCTCGTCCTCATTATCAGGAATGTATTTTCCTGCACTGTTAGTAGTTAGTTTCTCTACTATGATAATACTGAAAAGAATTCTTGGAGTTATTGGAAGTCCATGGCTGTACCTAAAAGAGAATCCTTAACCATTTATGAGGATGTCGTTGCATCTATAGCAATAAAAACACATGTTTCTTCCATTAAAGAACACCGAGTGTAAACCGACACCTATATGCTGAAAGTGAAATACGACATTAAGCCAATCGGCCTACTAGCTTGTCATAAACTCAAAAGTTACCTATAAAATACTTGAAACTTTATGCAGTTTTTCCTTTTTCACTGGTTTCCCCCTAAATTTTTTAGTTTAGAACGTAAAAATTGTCCTTTCCTAAGAAAATTTATGGCTCCACCCCTCGAAAGGAGGAAGAATTTTATGGAACGTGTCGCTTGTGACCATCCACTTCCATCATCACCGAATGTTTTGGAAAAAATCACCAACATGTTTCAAGTCAAAACCCTAGAAGGTGCTTGAACTTCATAACATTAGAAAGAAAGGGAAAAAAAAACATATATTTCCGGTAGAATCGCTATTACTTTAATGCACTTCATGTGTTACAATGATATTCAAGGGCCAAACGACCCTCCACTCTAAAGAAACAACAACAAAAAAAGGAAAAAGCACGAGTTATAAGAGTGGAAGGACGCAACTCTTGATATCGATCACCGTTATGACGAGTACTTACCCCGGCAGCCACCTTCATCCTTCATCGCATCTGCCATATCTCATTTACTCCCTACATGTGCCACAATCATATTTGCAGCAATCTTCTTCCTTCTCCAGCCAAATGAAGCCTACCAGAAAAGAGATAAATTAGCTGAACTGGAAGTTCATGGATCCCATCATTACAGCTGAACCAAGTAACAATTAAAGAGCCAGTTAATAAAAGATAACTTCAAGCATCTTTCAGAGGAAGAAACATGACTTGACATAAAAGAACTTCCTCAATCAAGAAACCTTCAGCCAAAAACTATGGTAAATAGTATATTCATCACAATCTCAGGAGACAGAATCTTAGAATGCTATGATCCTTTAACAGTTAGACAGCATCAGGCCCTTCTTTAACTCCTGGAAAGGCCAAAAATACACAGCTTACTCAGAGCATATATGTATTGATTTGGTATCTTATTATTTAATATAAATGAAAATAGTAAAGGGCCTAGAGATGATAGGTTCATACCTATAATCTTGTGAATTTCTTTGGCAACTAAACATACTAAGGTTAGGCGCGTGCCCCTAGATTAGTCGGGGTGCAAACAAGCTAGTCATAAATATTTATTTGAAATTAAAAAAAAGAAAAAAAAAACTCAAAGATACTCTTAAGATATTGACCAAGGCCGGAAGCGGTCTCTAGAATCATCTGACTTGAAAATGACTCTGAAGCACAGTAGTCATCAAGTAATGAGAGGATGGAAATTAGTTGCACCTTCATTTAACTATCCAAGTTACCTGAGGATCCTCCACCCAAACAAGTGACAGAACCACAATACATTGATATGACTGACTTGTGAGTCCAATGAGACATCTAATAGCCTGCATACAAAAACCAAAGGCCGTCCTCTATAAAAGCGCCTATGATTTGGCAGCTTCTAAAAAACTAAGAACAAAGAAGCCAACCTTCAAAGACCTCGTAGAGTTTGGAGAAATATGTGCTCATATTTTGCTAATATATCTATTTATTCAATGATTGCATGCTTTCATCACAGTTTCTCAAGCATCGTGTTTGCCAAACTACTTTTCAGGAGAGAGAAATAGAGATACTCTTTTCCTTATGCACATTTGCATGATCTATTAAGTTATTAGATCCACCAAAAAGATTAAGAGAACAACATAGTTTTCAAGAGTATGCCCAAATTTCCTATGCCATCAACTTTCTTATGGACAAGGTAAAGTAGCCCCATACCAGTGTTTTCGAGGCGCAAGGCGCACCGCAAGGCGACGAGTCCTTTGATCGCCTTGAGGCGAGAGGCGATACAAAGGCGACGCCCGATTGAAGCGAGGCGCACCTTGATAAATAAGTAAAAATTATATATATAGTGAATAAATTACCTTAAAAAAATCAATACCAAAATAGTAAATGTCAACAAGATGCATAAAACAACCAAATTCTATAAGTTTAGTTCCAAATAAAGACAAGCAACATTAAGAAATTGTAGAGTCTGAAATAGAACAAAAAGTAAATATAAGTAATCAAAGTTCATCATCCTCATCTAAATCTAAATTCTCTTCATCTTGGACGTCCTCACAATCTCCCTTTTCCAACAATTCTTCTTCTTCTTCTTCGGTGTCATCATCATCATCACTAACCACAACTTGCACTGATTTTCGAACTCTTGAAGTTGTAGGAGCGGGAGTAGCAGGCGACTTTCCTTTAGATCTTGTATATGTTCTAGTTTGCCTTATGGGTTCTCTAACACCACTAGCCTCGGCTACATCTCCCCATGTGAGGTCGTCATCATCAAAGACCAACTCATTTTCTTCTTGACCATCTTCTTCTTCGAGTGTTCCGATCAACCATTCATTACTTTCATCAATATGATCCAAAGTAATTGGATCAAGTTGGTCTTGTAGAGTGTAGCGCTCTTTAAGTGCTTGGTTATATTTTATATAAACCAAGTCATTAAGACGCTTTTGCTCTAACCTGTTCCTCTTCTTGGAATGAATATACAGAATTATTAACGATGTAGAGTCAAAAGTGGATTTTTCAATCTTCAACTAACAAGGGAAAAACCAAATTATTCTCACTGTTCAAAAACACTCCAATTGCGCTCACAGCCAGAAGCGCTGCACGTTAGACTAAGGACTCTCGTGGCTAACTTTCGTAAAATCGAAGCATTAACACCATAAAGAGACCACCATGCAGCTGTGCACATATTAAACAAATGATTTAGAATTTTAGTAGTTCAAACTTAAATATGTCTATTAAAAATTTAAAACTAAAAGTAATAAATAATGTCATTACCTGGTGTTTTAACACCCCTCGTCCTTATTGCTACATTACTCGAAAACATGCCTTTTGCTTCATTGTACAATTCTAATTCGATTGAACATTGAACTTGATCATCGATAGATGGTATTAATCGTTCTATAACTTTGATCAGACCATCCATGACCTCAGGATCTTGCATTATTCTCTCTTTGTTGTCATAAAAAAGAGATGGATTCAAATAATATCCGGCTGCATGTAAAGGCCGATGAAGTTGACAATCCCACCTTTTATCAACAATCTCCCAAATCGGTCTATACTTCG